GGGGGTTGGGTTCGGGGGTAGGGATGTCAGTCGTAAAGATGGGGAAGTCAGAAACGAGGTTACAGTGAGCACAATGTGAGTAGTACAGAGTCCAGGGACGGGGTCATGAAATGATAAGGAACAGTGAGACAACATTCAATGCTTTGGTCAGTGTGTCTGACGGTTAGTCGCTCAGTTCGTTTGTACTTTGGACAAAGAGAAACGATGGCCACCTACATTTTTAGACTTTGTCTCTGCTTTTTTCTGTAACATAAGGGATACATGATTTGATTACCATACTATGACGGAGAAAGAAAAATATACACATCAAAGTTCTAGGAATACAAAGGAAAAACAATTTTAATAATAAAATAATGACAACGGGAACAATCATCTAGACACTGCAGGGTGAGTATATATAAACATGTGGCTCTCCTCTACTGCATTACTGTCTAGTTCAGTTCATAGAAAAATAAACAAGAACATTTATGTTAAATCTAATAAACTAATAATAAACTCTCAAAATTTCAATTCACCCCCCCCCTTTCTTCTCTCTCTACATCTTTTTTTCCTGTGCTTTCCAGCCGTCTGCCCAAGAACTTCCCTTGCTTTTCTTTACTTTACTTTTCCGATCCAGCGGCCATTTGGGTTCTAGCCCTTCGGTCTGTCAATATGGCAAAGAATTGACAGGTTTTAATCAGAAGAACTTCCCTTCAAATATAAATGTTCAGATTCTTCCTCCCCGATGCTAGCCAACTGGACAGGAAAAAGGTGGCCCTTTAGTTCAACTTTTGTTTTAGAAGCTAACCCCTTCACACATCTGCAAACATTGTGAGGTCAACAACACGTCTAGTCTCCCAGGAACAAACTCGTGTGTGTTCAGACATTGACTTGAAAAGGGGTCAAACAGCACATAACATGCGAGATAGAAAATCTTTCGAGCAAAAAATCTCAAAAAAGGGGGTAGAATAGGAAGGAAGAAAAACCAGTGAGAATGCTACAAACACAAAATGCTTGGTGGGGGTTCTGCACAACTAGCAGTCACTTCGAAGTTCACCGGCCTATCAAATGCGACAAGATCTAATAACAACTCTACAACAACATCTCATCCAGGCCTCATCTTTCACCCATGATACTCACATTTCAAACACTGTTTTCAAAACATAACTTGACTCCATTTTTTTTTTAAATTCAGATCCATTTCAGAGCTTTAAAAAGACGGCTAACAAAAAACCCTGGCCATGAGGACAACAACAAACAATCTCATTCTGTAGAAAGTCTCGACTCACATTTAACTTCACCTAAGAATCACATACCGTGGAGTCTGCTTACACCAAACAAAATAAAGGTAAAAAAAGATAATCCCAAGGAAAATCATATTTTTTTCTTCTATTTGAGCAACTTCTCTATACCAAAAATCCAGCCATCCCGCAGATTTCAATTCAAGCTGACTGCATTCTACATTGCATACTCTCAACTCCTTTCATTTTTGGGACAGACCTCATACATTTTTCCCCCCCAACTCTCTTCCTCTGACTCCAACAATTTAAGAGACTAATATACCTACTTCAACAATTCAAACAGCTCATACAACTTTCCAAACTTTCCTCAAATCTGGTTCATTAAATCAAATGACTAATATGACTGCAAAAACTCAAGGGACTACTAGAACTTTTTTAGAAATTTAAACAAGTAAGGCGACTCCTTTAACATGCCAAGTGACTCATATGACAGCCTCAGATATTCAAAATATTAACATGAACTTTGCAAAAATCCAATCCCTAACATTCAAGTGGTAAAGGTAACTAAAACCGCAATTGGCTGAAACGACTCCTTCAGAAGTTTAAGTGATGATATGGCTCCTTCAGCAATTCAAGAGACCAGTAAAAACAAATTGGTAACATCAAAGCCAACAAATCCAAGAGACTAAAGTGACCTCTGAAATCCAAGCAATGAATACGACTCCCAACAATTCAAAAGGCTAATACGACTCCATAAGAAACCCCAAACGATTAATATGAATCCTTCAAAAATTCTAAGTAACGAGTACCACTCCTTCAACAAATCAAGCAGCCAATAACTTTACTAATATCTAATCCAGCAAATACAAAATCCTACTCTATTTCCAGTACAAAAAGGGGAGGTGGGTATAAAAAAAAACAACCAAAAGTGAACAAATACCCAAACAGTCAGTTACAAAGTGTGGAACATCGGATTATATGGCCAACAAGGACACAAAAAGTATATATGCAAGGGGAGGAAAAGACATATCAAAGGAGAGTAACTCACCTTTTGAGCTTGCTGCACACGACTGCTGGTTCGGTTCTTCCTGGCTTTTGACTGAAGACGACAGAGACGGGAGAGAAATGAGTAAAGAAAACCGTGATGAGAAATGAGACGATTACACTAATCCTAAAGCCCTGTAGGTTTTAAGATTTGGGTTTTTGATCACTTGTTATATAAAAAAGACCTTTACGAGGGAAGACATTATTAAAGCATTTGTTGTTGTTTTCAAATCCCTTTAGCTGCGAGCATTTCGCTCTTGGCAGCGCAATGCCTCCCTCAAGTAACCACATGTCCTTGTCATCTGGTCAACGCCAGAGTAGAGCAGGCTTTGTAAGTCTGTAGGTGTGTGTAGGAGCTTGCGTCAAAGAACTGCCAGGTTAAAGCATAGGTAAAAGGAAAGAAGTTTAAAAAATAGAGGGAAATGTTTAGTCCAAATGAAAAAGCCAGAATCTCTTCTCCCTCAAGCAGGGTAATATACACTCAACTATTGACAACATTTCTTGTTAGCCGAGTGGGTTTAGCCCACTTATCCAGATAATTTGGTCATTTAAGAACCACAAGCTAAAAATAAAAGTTCAAAACAAAAGGAAAAGTAAGTAATACAACCAGAACAGAATTCCAACATTTTCTTTTCATGTGCACAAAAACAGTTTATTACAAAATGTTGTAATCTCTCTCTTACCAGCAACTAATTGTCACACGATCTTACCTTACACAATTTTATAACAACTCCTATCAACAATTAATTTCTAAATTGATTTCATAAGATTTCCCATCAAAAACAGTTCACCAAGCGATTTTGCTTTGTCTCCTATATAGCACTATTCACCTCAAACAAAAGCATGCCGTATCACTTACCAAATAGGGAGCTTTTTGATCCGGAGTGAGTTTTCTCCACAGCTTAGCAATTTGCTTGGATCTTTCAGTCCAGTCTGGAAGGAACAAAAAACAACGTAAAATACAAGTCAGTAACTACAAACTCAACTATGTTGAAATCCAACAAACATTTCCTAATGGAGCTCTAAAATTCCTTTTACCAACAACCAAGACAGCAGTTAGAGTTTTTGGCTCCAGTGATATAGCCTTGGAGGCATCACCATTCTATTTACGAACACGTACAGAGATAGACGAGACAGAACAGATGTGTATACAACCGAACCTGCTTTAACAGCCACCTGTCCAAAACAACAAGACAATCGAATGTACACACGACCCCTCCCATCACATTAAAAAAAATTAAAACAGCACTGTCCTAGTCAACCTTGACAATGGGCGACCGTCTTTGGTACTTTCGAAAATATGTCTCATCTCCATTACTCAAAATTACACTTTATTCATTTTTAGGTCAAAAACCAGAACTATTGTCATAACTGCTTTCAAAATATTTTTGTCACAAAACATGAAATAACCAAAAAGTTATTTTGTCACTTTGATAGCTTGTGGGGACATCTCATTCAGATAAGAAACATTTGTGATGCATCATGGTGAAATCAGGCGCTCGTCAAAATAATAAAATCAAAGAAATCTGCATTTTCATGAACGTTGAGCAATTTTTTTCAAATCTTTTTATTTTTGGGCTCAACATTTTCAATGTCCATTTAAAAACACATTCATGAGCGGATTTCACTGAAAATCTTTAATCAAAGGCAAATTTGCATTTTCCAAGGACTCTCAAGCTTTGGTAGTCATCAAACTGTACCAGCCATTTTCTCCCCAATTTTACTTCTGAAACCAAGCAACGCCATCTCCTTTAATTTCAAATAACTGGACCCCTATTCAAGACAGATGTGTAACTTTTTCAACGAAGGCAAGACAAATGAACCAGCTTTATGATGATACCAATAACTCCACATGACCAAAAATAGACGAGCACCTGATTCGACCGCGTCGTGACACATTTGGTTACCTGGGTATTTCTGCTTGAGGTCCGGGTGGCACATGTTGACGTAGAGCACACAAGAGATGGTTGCCTGATCCCCCATCTCCTCCTCCTGCTCCCACTTGAGGATGTTCCGCTTTGTGCTGCCTTGTGTGTCCTCCTCCGTGCTGCCCACCCACGGGCTCGATGACCCGGGACCCGGACCAGAGCCAGGGCCAGGGCCAGGACCAGGACCAGGACCAGGTCCAGGACCAGGACCAGGACCCATCGGACTCCCTGTGGTCGGGCTCATGCCTTGTGGGTAATTCTGCGGCATCTGAGACCTGCATGCACAAGACGTATGAATTTATTACCAAAGAACAAACCGTTTTTTAAAAATCAAAATCAAAATTGAATTTCAAACAAATAGAAGCTCCATCTATCTTTGTTTAGATGCTGCTAAGCCTTAATATAACAATCTTTGTTTAGATGCTGTTTAGCCTAAATATAGCTATCTTTGTTTAGATGCTGTTTAGCCTAAATATAGCAATCTTTGTTTAGAAGCTGTTTTTGAAGAAATGTGGCAAACTTTTACTGTGCAAGGGTTTTACTACTTCCCTCTTCCGCATCCCAAAACCATCACTTTTACAAACACAGCACAACAACAGTCATTTCAACAACACCAGCCTCAAAATTAAGTCTTTTTCAGCAGAATAAACACAAATTATTTGGGAACCACCTACCCAAAGCCTTGCCCATACGGCATTCCAAAGGGAGGCAAGCCCGGCGGTCCCTGCACAGGCCCAGGTCTCATCTCTGCCCCAGGCGACTGTGGGATATTCGGGTGGGGTGGCTGTTGGTGAGGCATGCCCCCCTGGGACGGGCCAGGCATGCTTGGAGGCAGGGACATGTTGAACTGACCTGTCGGAGATAGATGACCACAAAAACATAAGTATATCCAGTCGAATTTATTGTTTGTTTTGTTTTCATAAAGTTTTACGCGCTCGCAACTGTCGGAGTTGGATGACAAACAACAACAAAAATCTAACCTGATTCCAGAACTTGTTCAAATATTTTTTCATTCACAGCTATACATATTAAGGCCCTCAGGACAAAATGCTGATCCTCAGAACGAAAAAAAAATGCGTCAATCTTTCCAAAATCCTCCAACAACGCACATACACATCCAGCTGAAAAAAGGAACTTTCAGTAACATTTTGACACACACACACACACACACACACACACATACACATACACACACACACACACACTTTTCCTTTCACAAACAAACTGTGGACGCGGATAATCTGAAAGCCCACGATCGGATCATTTCTGAATTTCCCTAATACATTGTGCTATGACTCACCACTCGGGGATTCCCCGCCCTCTGACCGACCGGGCTGACTGTCCAGCACACCGGAGAAGATGTCCTCCACAGTCTTACTGTCTATGTGAACCAAACCTGGAAAGAGATTTGGAACTTTCTCATTTCATGATTTATCAACATGAACTAAACCTGGACAATTGGACAGAGATATGGAACCTTTTTCATTCTATGATCATCAATGAGAAAAAAACTTGGAGACTTGGAACTATTTTATTTCAAGATAATCATTTCGAACTAAACCTGGATAGAGACATTATGTAACTTTTTTCCTTTCAAGATCATAATTGTGAACTTAACCTGGATAGAGATGTGAAACTGTTGTATTTCAATATCATCAATGTGCACTAGCCCTGGGGAGGGTTATGGAAAACTATTAAATTTCATGACCAGCACAGCAAGCCAAAAGCAGAAAAGGCAGGTAACTGTGAGTACCAACACTAGTTCCCAAAAACCCAATGACATATTTTTTTTTTTATATCAATATTGTGAACACAGACCCTCTTTAGAAAGCAGTCATGAATCAGCTCCAGCAAAATCATTCACTTGAAACAGAAGATCACAAAGTAGTGTACTCGCACAAGCTAAAAATTGAGGATCGACGAAACTTGGCAGGACACACTGCACAAAGATTACCTTCAGTGAGCATGTGGTCAACATCTAGACCCTTGTCGATGTCCGAGGAGAGCATGTGGGCCAGGTTGTCCGGCAGTTCCCCAGATTTGGCCGGCACCGGATCCTTGCTGGTCACTGTCTCCATGTTATCCAGTGACAGGCCTGCATGGAATATTCATCATCAAGTGTTAAGACGAGAAATTTATTTACACCTTCTGAAATGAGCTTTCTTATATATGGAGAAGGTCAAGCATTTCATAATAAAGGTATTCCAAAACTTTGCAATAACAACGAAAATAGCTTCTATTGGGGTTTTGTTTGGACGGGACGGGGGGGGGGGGGGGGGGGCAGGGGTTTAATGAAAGTACATGCTCTACAAGATATCCTGAAAAAAAGGAATTGAGCTTTTATTCGTGACTGGAAGCCTCGTGAACTATGTAAATTGTATCAATGGGTGCACAAAACATTATTTCATAATCTTCCCAAATTGTGAGTTATTTCATTTATACAAAATGTCAGCAGATTAAGAATTTCAAATTCTTACATTAAAGAAGTGTACTTTTAACTATACCAGGTAACAAATGTGAAAATACAAAGGATTCCTTTAAACATACCATCATCCTTGAGCTCCTCGTTGATGAGACTGAGAATATCGTCACTTTCGTGGAATTCTGGGAGGATATCTTTCAGGTCTGACTCATCTGGGACACAAGAATGAAATGCTTTGTTTTTAATTTGAGAAAATGACACATTATACAAAGATGTTATTGGAAAAGCTTAAAAACAAACTGTGCAGAATTAAAGAAGGAAACTTTAATTCTGAGCAACTGTCTTCAGGCTGCTTATGGTATTCTTAGCATCATAGAACAAGTTCCGTGAGAGAACCAAACTATTGTTTTTTGGGGGGTTTTTGTAAGTGTTTTACTGCGCTCGCAACTGCATACGGTCGGTCATATGAGCATGCAGGACACATCAAACATTTTTTGTTGGAAGGAAATTTTTGAATTTTGCCAGGGTGGTGGCCGAAGCCTACTGTTATCAATTTTGGACCACCAAGGAATCTTTAACGTATGCAACTTGCACACTGGACCTCTGAGGTTTTTCGCCCTTATCCGAGAAGGCTAGGTGTAGATTTTACCTACCATAAGATTAGGGGTGTGGCTGAAAAACAGAAGAAGGAGCCAAGGAGAAGCAGTAGAAAAGCTGCAGTAAGAGTCAGGAGCCCAAATGAGGAGGGGGCAAAGGAGGTGAGTGAGTGGGGGGCAGAAAGAGGTGACGAAAGCAGACGAAAGAACATTGTTAGAAAGCAGGAAAGAATATGAAAGGGGAACATTTTTTAGAGAAGGAAATTTTCAGTCGCTATCCGCATTCGAACCCGGGACCTATTGAATGAGAGGCCAACACCTGTCTCTAGACCACGAGAGCCCCAGAAAACTATTGTTTTCAACATATATCCATTCAAAAATAAAACGCACAACGCATGCATCCTGAAAAGCAGATAGAAAGGAGTTGGGAGTCAAGACAAAAGCTGCCACAATTCACACAAAAAATACATTAAGACCAGATACCATTGAAAGAATACGACAGAGCAGACCAAATAAATGTTTATTGGCTTTGTTTCAGTCTTAACATAGGAAAAGGTGAGACAAGAAGCCTTCGAATTCGGATCAAGTGTGTTCTGCCTCTATGAGCGTCTTTACACTTTAACTCCAGAGAACAACCTAGCTTTTAAGAACTATTAAAAGTCAGGGAGATAACACAATTACCTTTGTCATTCTTTTTCCGGTATGGCAAAAAAATTCTTGTGACTTGTTACGCATTGTCAATACTGGACGGTTGGGTTTCAAATACTAAACACCTAGGGGTTTTTTTCACAAGTCGTAAGGCTGACTTAGAACTGTTTTTATTATAAGTTTACTAAAAACAACAAAAATGGCAAATTATTTTATAACTGCAACATAACATCTGGGCAGGTTAGAAAAAATGCAATCAACACCTGAGACAGCAAAGCACAACAACAATTACATTATACATCCTCTTCTCACACTTCTTCAGCAAAACTCACTCATTTCAAGCAGGTAGGAAAAAAAAAAACCCACTCACCCAAACTCTGAATGTCCTCGCTCTGTTCTGACCCCGACAACGATGTGTGAGACCTTGGCACAGGTCCAGCAGCTGGGCCGGGCAGTCCTGAGGTGACACTGTCCAGATCTGTCGCAGAACCCAGAGGTTTCACAATAGGTGTATCTTTACCTGAAGGAAAGGGAATTCCATATGGAGTGCGCTGACCTTGCAACATTTTTTTTAAAACAAGAGTTTACCACTAACAGAAGTGAAAACATAAGACTAGCAAAGGATTTCAAATTAATTGAAAGTTTGAAGTTTGTTTTAAGGGTAGAGTTTAGACAGCAACGGGTCCATGATGAGACATGACTGGAATACATTTTTAGTTTCTTGGAAGAGATTTCTGGCATGTGCAACACAATTAGGTCATACATGTGCCAAAGAACAGGGGAATTAATTATAATAATAATAATAATAACAAATAGCATTTATACTGCGCATTTCCATTTCCTAAAAGATGCTCAATGCGCATTACAATGAAAAAGACATCACATCTTAAAAATTAATCGACACAAATGTGTACGTAAAACAAAGTATTATACATATAATATAAATGCATATGTGTAAAATTTTATACCAGAAAAACAGTCTCGCAGTGAGGTTGAAAATGTGTTCACTAAAAATATACAATGCAATATAAATTCACGAACAGTCAAAATACAGTTGAAACGTGAGTAACTAGAAACATTCATTAAAACATTAATTCTATACAGATAGAAAAACATTTCCACTCTCTCTCTCTCTCCCTCTCTCTTTCTCTCTCTGTCTGTCTGTCTCTCTCTCTCTCCCTCTCTCTCTCTCCCTCTCCCTCTATCTCTTTCTCTCTCCCTCTCTCGCTATCTCTCTCTTTTCTCTCTCTATCTCTCTCTTTTTCTCTCTCTCATTCTCACTCGCTATTTCTTCAGTCTCACAGTCTGCATACACATGCATATATATCACAGTACATCATTATGACAGGTATGCTTTTGTGAATAAAAAATGCTTCAGCTGATTTTTGAAAATGGAAATTGTTGGGGCAGATCTTATTTTATATGGGATTTCGTTCCATACCTGGGGACCAAAGAACAAAAAGGAACGCTCGCCGTATGTTTTGTAGTTTTGTTTTGGAGTTTTAAGAATTAGATTGTCAGAGGCTGATCTAAGGGCTCTAGGTGGATTATGTAATTCCAGGAATGTTTTAAGATAAAAAGGTGCACTATCATTTATACATTTAAAACAGAGAACGGCAGTTTTGTATTTAATCCTTTCTTTTATTGGCAGCCAGTGTAATAAGAGAGTAATCTATCCAAAGAAAAGGTGGAAAGATAATAACAATAGATGTTTGATAGAAATAAAGAAGCAAACCCCACTAGAGTGACCGCAAACATTATTTAGAAAGGTATTCTTAACACTCAATTCAACAACGGGGGGGGGGGGGCGCATGTCCGGGGCAGCTGCTAAAGCAGATTTTAACCCAAACCATCCTAGCTACTTACCAGTGACAGGAACCATCTTTGCTGGGCTTCCGTTGATGGAGCGTTCATAGTCTGAGTCTGACTCTGTCTTCAACAAGCCCTTCGTGGACTCCTTCATTTGGTCAAGGATGGACTTGCCAAAAAAGGCCTCCTAAACAAATGGGGGGGAAGGAACACACCCGTTTTTGTTTAGCTTGTTTTTGTGTGTGTGGTTTTTTTTATGATACCAAAAAACTGCCTTCAGTACAATATATATATATATGAACATATCATGTACATAAAAAAGATGAAACATCCTGCATCCTCTTGCATAAAAAATATACATACACACTGTAAAGTTCAATAATCTTAATCAAGAGAAATTAATGGTTGACGGTAATTTGTTTCAGGAATGACATCCAGCTTGAGTTGGGTTGTTTTGGGGTTGTTTTTGTTTTTTTTTCTTTGGGGGGGGGATTCATCTTTAAAATGGCATAAAGACTCAATGAACATAATGTCACACAACGCAGACTACAATTAATTCAACTACACCAACAACACTGCAACATAAGCTTTGACATATTCTGCCCAAGGCTTGGCCTACCTGCATGTATAACGGAAACTGTTCTTCCATTTTAGATTTCTTTATTTTCCTTCGTCGCTTCGGCGGCTTTTCTACTTTCTCTCCAGCCTGCTCAGCTCCTGTTAACACACAAATATACCAGCATAAAATAATTACACACGAACAAACGAACAATTTATTTCTCAGGCAACAAACCGTTCTTCTTCTCACTATTTGTAGATTCTACAGCTCCCTCTCCCAACGTGGGCTCTCGGCATTTTACATTAAATCCATGTATTTAAAAATATTCAGGAACACAATAGGCCCTCTACTAAATCAAATGCCCAAACTTTTCACTGAGAGTTAAAACTATTTTGCTCATATTTTAATAGCACTTGACAGTTTGGGAGATTTTCCCTTTGACTATCTAAAAGTCTTCTGACAACTTTGTTTTCACTCAAACTCTTCAATTATGTAATTTCAGGACACAAAATTCATTCAGGAAGTATTAACAACATCTAGAGGAAACGTACATTCAACTTAACATTTGTTCACGTACCTTTCTCTTGATCTTCTTGCTCCTCATACGAAGCTTGGCGCTTGGCTATCCACTGGCGTGATCTTTGCCGGACAATGAAGCCACCAACACCTGAGAAACAAAGAAAAAACATTGACCACAACTCATTTCAAAGGCAGAAATTCATCACATACGTTGTGGTAACAATCATTCTTTGGGTTTAAAAAATAAGAATAAGACTTTAAGACTGGCAACCTAACACAGATTCTTAGACTTACAATTAAATAATCAAACCTGCTTTAACTGCCACCTTTAAAAAAGATAATCCCCTGTGTAAACGATCACTTCGCATTTCCCATGTTGCAGTTGTTGTTGTTTTTTTTGGGGGGGGGGGTTTAAACACAATAAGAATATTGTCAAAGATGGCCAACTCTTTTAGGTGGCCACTCTTCTGCTCCTAATGGGTCGTGTTATTATAATAAATAGCATTCGTATAGCCCATAACCCCGCTCCACAGCAAGCTCTATGCGCTTTACACTATATTAGGCAATCTTAGGCAATTTCGACTCTAAATATGGCACACAAGACAATGGTATCTTACCTAAACCAAAGACACGTCTCGGCTTCCTCTTCTTCACTCCGTCCTCCCCCACGTCCTCCTGTGAGGGTTCTCCAGGCTCCACGACAGACCCTGATGGAGCCTCCTCAGAATCTTCAGACTCTGTGAGGACAAGACAATTCACAGAGGTGAGCAATTGTTTGTTTGTTTTAGTGAGTTATACAGCACCAAGGAGGAAGAGAAGTTATAGACCTTGGGTAAAAAAGAGAAAAGTAACAGGAATAACAACAAGCGACTCGTAATGATCACAAACGCCACAATTTGCTACAGCAGCACTTTTTCCGTTCCTAGCGTGGTGCGTTTATCTGCATAACCATATAATTAGTCGAATTAACCTTCTAATGGCTTTGCTTGTGACCTTCAAGCGCTATAACTTTCCATCAACAGAACACTGGTGATCTGTTGGGACAGAATCATAATATCAAAATATGTCAGTCTTAATTTTCTTGCTTTTCTGGCTACCTCTGCTCTACAAACTGTTTTTCTCAAAAACCCTGCTGCCACAAGTCACAACTTTAGATTTTTTACACGCAACTTTGAATTTTCTTTCTTTAAAGATTGCAAATGACACACAACCAAGATAAAAACTATCACAAATGACACAAAGACTTACGAAAGACTTTTCTTGGTGGTGGTGGTTGCTGCTGCTTGGTCAGTTTCTTGGGGTTGGTCACTTGTAGCTTCTGTATCTGGTTGAGGCCGCTGGCGAAGAGGAAAACTCCGTCCACCAGGAACTGTCGGGGGGGCTCGGGCTTGGGGGGGACATAAGGCAAGGCGGGGGGCGGGGTGGGCTGGGGCTCTTCCTTGGGCGGAGACGGGGGAGGTGGGGGAGGGGGCACTGAAACAACAAAAGCAGACATGTCAGAGACACTCTTGTTTTCACTCCACACTCTATATTTTCCCTCTCACTGAATTGATGGTGACAGCCACTCACTCTTTTAAGTTTTAGTTTTAGTAAGAGTTTAACAACATTTGCAACATAATAAGGTCGTCTGAGTGCCGAAAATTATAGAGGTGTTCCGAGAGAGTAACAAACACAAAAAAGGAGGAGGACAGATAAGGACGATAGATGTTTGATAGGAAAGAAGGAGCATGTCACACCAGAGCACCCGCCAACCAACCACCCACCCACTCTGAAAAACTGTTAGAGAACAAAGAGATAGAACAGGGATTGTGCTATCGTGCTGCATTTAAAACTTATGGGGTTTTCGAGAAGAGAACTTTTGACAAGCTTTTTTACTTTTCCGACCCAGTGACCATCAGTTCTAGCCCTTCGGCTTATGACAAAGCTTCAAAAATAAAATAAACAAACATTGTGACAGCCTTATATCCAAGTAATGAGCTTTGTGTGCCTAAACAATGGAACGTTGTACTCATAAGGGATTCTACTCAAAAACTGAACATTAGAACATAAGACAAAGGCAAAATTTTACTACGAAATACAAGTTCAGTACAGTTTACCAGTTCCTTTGACTAAATAAGACCATGGAGCAATGTGTAAAGAGGAAGCATACAGGAATCTCATTAATCAACCAGAATCCCTGAAAACCAAGGCAGGGTCAAATGAATTAAAATAAACACCAACCATGATAAATAAACTTCCATTTTTTAAAGGCCTTCGCCCATCTTTCTCGGCAACTGATGCCCATCGCTTTCACCAACCCTCCCACCCACAAACACAAAAATCCAACAAAAGTAAAATAAACTCACATGGACCAATCTTGCCCGTTTTGGGGCGGCAAAAGAGGCAGTGGTACCCGTAGTCGGCTGCTATTTCAGCCTCGTCTTCACAAGTCAAATCATCACATTTACAATGGAGCCACCTGCAAAGAACAAACGCACAAATACATTCACTCAGTTACCAGCAGAACTCTTTATGGTAGTAGAGAGTCTTCAATTCTGATCACAAATATTTTAGTTTTTTAGTCTTAGTAGAGGGTTTTACAGCGCTCGCAACTGCATAAGGTCATATGAGCGTCAGAAGATTAGAGGTGTAACAAGAGAGTAACAAACATTAAAAAGATGAAGGGGAGATAAGGACGATAGATGTCTAAGGGGAGATAAGGACGATAGATGTCTAAGGGGAGATAAGGACGGTAGATGTCTAAGGGGAGATAAGGACGGTAGATGTCTAAGGGGAGATAAGGACGGTAGATGTCTAAGGGGAGATAAGGATGATAGATGTCTAAGGGGAGATAAGGACGATAGATGTCGAAAAGGAAAGAAGGAGCAAACCACACCAGAGCACCAACCAACCACCCACTAACAAAAAATGGCAAAAAAATACTTGGCAAGGGCAAATAAAAACAAGAAGATGAAAAAAGTAACAACATACATAAACAAATAACAGTCTATTTTACGGCTCTTGCATTCACCACAACGGTCATTTTAAAAGCACTTACAAGCTCAACTAGCAAAAAGCGTCAAGATTATTGGACGTATCATGAGGACCAATACAACAGATACCGCTTAATTAACCTAGACCAAACACTGCCCACCATCATCACAGGAAAGTGTAGACCAATACGTCAAATACAGTTTATCAGCTTAATTAACTTAGACCAAACACTGCCCACCACCACCACAGGAAAGTGTAGAACAATACGTCAAATACAGTTTATCATCAATCACCATGGACCAGCGCCCCCTGCTGAACATTGCCCTGCATCATTACAGAGACAAAACTTTGGGAACAATACAGCATTAACTTCTGATCAATAACAAGAGACCAGCACCCACTAACAACCGACACATGGACAGAAATGTGAACCAATATGGCACATAAACCGTATCATCAATCATGACTGACCAACGTGTTTACCCATCTACCACAGAGACAAAATACTGAGCCAATACAACATAAACACTATCACCAATGTACAATGGGAGTGTAGAGTGGGACTCGCTCGGTCCCCGAGAGGACGGTCCCAGCGTCCGGTCAGATCACAGGGTATATGAAGTATTTACGCTAATACAAACTCTTACGAATCCAAATAGATTTTTATTTTGACCCAGAAGTGTTGGATACATGTATAAACTACTTCCTCTTTCACTTTGACACAGCTTTAGCCATTTTATGAACATTTTGCGTGTGTCCGCATTACAGGTATCACGAGATCTGGACACATTTTTTTTGTCAAAACATGGAAAATAATTCCGGGGTTAAAGAGTTCGCCCACCTGTCACACTGCTGGCACTGTATGATGAGCTGGTCCATGAGGTAGCTGTCCTGGCACACGGGGCAGTAGAGCTTGCTGTGGCACGGGCTGCACTGTGTGTAGTTGTTCATCCATTGGCACTCGTAGCCCGGCGACGTGGAGCCACAGTTGACACACATGACACACCTGGATAGCAGCAGAGAGGAGTCAATGACATGACACGGGGGGGTCCGCATTGTTTGTTTTGAGTGAAGAGAAGCACATTAACACAATGGTGGTTGCTTAGGGCAGGGAAAGAGTTATTTGTTTGATTGTTTGTACGTTTGAGTAAAGAGAAGTGCATTCAACACAATAGCAATCCCTCTGAGCAGTGAATAAAGCAAATAGTTTGTTTGTTCGTTTGAGTAAACAGAAGCATATCACCACAATAAGGTCCACGTAGTGCAGGGAAAGAAAAAGGCTGGCGACCAAAAACAATTGTTTTTATTTTTTAAATGACAGAAACCACCAGTACACTCTATGACCACACACTGAGAGAGGATAGCAGTGCCAAGGCTGGGTTGTTTGTTTTAGTAGAGGTTTTACTGCGCTCGCAACTGCATAAGGTCATATGACCGCAAAGGGGTGGATGTAAACAGAGAAGTACTTACAGGGAATCAGACTTACTCTGCTCACCTCTCTAGCTTCAACAGCACAAAGTCTGCTTCAGCTGTCAAGGCATCCCGGTAATAGCGGGTCAAAAGAGTGTGACACACATACAAAAGAAGTAGAGGAAAATGACGATAGTAAGGATTAGGAAAGAAAAAGCAGCAGTTCCCTGTTGCAGTTCAGGCACTGTTATGAGCATGAGATTGTTGGATCAGCCCATTTACAATTCTACTGTGCATTAGAACGAGAAATTCTTTGGGAATGGCCTAAAGATACTTCAATCAGTGGCACTGCCGGGGGGGGGGGGGGGGGGGGGGGGGGTTGAAGGCTGGGTTAAAGTGAGCACACACACACAGCATAGGTATGATAGGGACAGACTAAGATGTTTGCACAAAGAAGAAAGACAAGAGGCAAATGTCCCTGCAAACTGTGCAGCAGTCTCAGTATGAGACGTGCCGTCAAGGTCTGCAGGTTTTTCCTTTAGCACCCAAGGGAAAGGCTCTCTGACATGTGGTCAGATAGCGGCAAGGAGTGCTACAACAAACCCACAATATTAAATAGGGAATAAAAGAACATCGAAACTGAAAACAGCTGAACACAAAATGGAGACTTCAAAAAGGCTAGCACCTCATTTTGCTGGTTCAATGAAACACCTATAACATGCTAATCAAAGCCTATCATCATTTTTAAAGATTTGCTTTAGTTTAGGTGTAAATGCCCATAATTTTTCTACCTTAATTTCAAATCGAACATCTCAATATTAAATAAATACATGAATATTCAAGTTAGAACATTTATACTGAAGTTAAAGCATATAAGAAACAAAACAAGATTCAGTTAGGTGTTTCATGTTCAATACAAGGCTTTCGCTATAATAGAGTTACAGCTTCATGCCAGAGCACCTTCCAAGCACTTGTTGACAGATGCCCTTTTTTTCAAATAAATTTGTTCAATGTCTTCAAAAATACTAGCTTTGAAGAAGCAAAACAAAACATTTAGCAACATCTGTGAAACTCACACCAAGAGACAAATGTCCCTGCAAATTGTGCAGCAGTCTCAGTATCAGACGTGCCGTCAAGGTCTGCAGATTTTTCATCTAGCACACAAGGGAAAGGCTTTCTGACCTCTGATGGTCAGACAGCGGCAAATAGTGCGGTATAACATATCAATTTTCAAGAGCACATTTTTTTTTTTAAACCATCTTGTAGTGAGTGTGCTTTTGTCGTTTCTACTACTCACCACTTGCACTTCCAGTTTCCCTTGGGCACGGTCTTGAGTGGAGGGTCGAGACAGTAGGTGTGGTAGCTGATGTCGCAGTCGTCACAGAGCAGGAGCAGACCCTCGTCGTCGGGGCCCCCACAACCCTCGCACACCGTGCAGTCCATGCAGCGCCAGCCCTTCTGCAGCATCACTTTGGTCACCTGTAGGTTTGAAAAAAAATTAATTTTTTAAACATTTTGTTAAGCCCCCAACAGCATAAAGTGTGTCATTACGAGGCAGGCTGCATTAATTCAGCCTGTCATGACAAATATGGGTAGAACAGCACACAGCAACCATAAAATCAGACTAAGATATAATGATAAAACAAATGCCAGGAACATAAAGAGTTTTCTGCATGCAACGATGAAGAGCTAAACCATTACACCACAAACACCAGTCTCTAGGTGGGCGGATTTATTTTTTTTATGTATGAGTTTTTACGCTCCCAATGACACAGTTCTGACTCCGACTGTCAGGGCCAACCCAGGCTGAGAGGGATACAGCTTCCTTGCAGAAAGAAAAAGACACCATAAAAAGTCTTCCCACTATGAAACCAGGAATCTTTCTCAGACCAACAATTTTCCTGACTACATAAACCTGTCCCACAAACTATCATACGAAAGAGCAGTGGGAACTTCAAACTTTAAACTGTTTGATTCCAAACATGTTATCAATCCAATGTCCCTGCAAATTGTGCAGCAGTCTCAGTATCACACGTGCCGTCAAGGTCTGCAGATTTTTTATCTAGCACCCAAGGGAAAGGCTCTCTGACCTCTGATGGTCAGACAACGGCAAGGAGTGCGGTAT